TGCCGATAATTTTGGTGACGTGTTATCGTCCAATTTTTGGAGATATTTTGCCGATAAATTGGATAATACATTGATGGTAGATTTAACGAAAAAATTTGACGATGAACATGGTCATGAGCGTTCGTCATTTTGACGACAATTTCGCTGTTAAGTTTCGGAAATTCTTTTCGGAATTTGGTCGACAATTCAGCTGTAAAATTTTGGATGCTATGTCGACAATTTTCCGGAAAAATGTCGGCATCTTGTTTTCTGGGTATTCCTGACTGTCCAAAATCATAAAAGATTTGTTGACCGATGATTTAAAAACTAGAGCTGAATTATGCAGATTAATCAATTAATATGGGATATTGTCAGTAAACTGTATAAAAAAATGTTTGAAATTGCTCGATGTTCTAACATCACTCGATGTGACCATCAAGTGATGTTAGTAAATATCCATATGTTCCTTAATGATAGGATTAAAATTACAAATGTTTGCAGAATTACAATGATTACAAAATGTTCGATAAATGTTCTATAAATCTGATGGCGAGAAGAAAAAAATTCTATATTCAGAACCCTTTGAAATACTAGAATGGTCGTTGATCGGAAGGTTCATTGACAAGAAATCCCAAATTCCAAAACGCCGAAAACTAAATGTGAACTTGATAATAGTAGATTTCTGTAAGTGGATCTAACTTAGAGTCGACGGTATTTACTTTACCGACGGTTGAAACGTGTTACTTCTATCACGGTGCCTTTATTATCGATGCTTTCAACGGTGCCTTTATAATCAATGTTTGTTTTTCTATAGTCCGTTTGATGGCGATAGGATAAATAAAAATATTAATGGGCTAAAAGAAAAATTCTAAAGGACTAATGCAAAAAAGTCAAAGAATTGTTTTTAATGGGAAATGAATAAATCTCAATGGTAATTTTTATAAAGAAAAAAAAAGAAAAACTCATGATATTGAGTCGTAATTGAATTATCGCTAATGACATGACTCTATACCTTATTAAATAAAATTAATTTGAACGATTTGTCGATTTTCCAATTTTGATTGCAAATGGTCTAGAATGTTATGAAACGTAAAGAAATGATGTTTTCATGTCACGGGACCTAAAAAACGCCAATTTCGTGGCGCGCAGCTTTTTTCCCGCGACACGAAATAGTACTTTTTAAGCCTAGCCGTTGAAAACAGATCATCCGCCCCCACGTGCAAGATTAACATCCGAGCCGAAGGCGAGGATGGCAAGTACGTGGGGGAGGATGATGTTTTCCACGGCGTGGCTTGAATAAAATTTTTCCAGACGCAGGGCCTGGAAAACGCAAATTTCTGGGCGCGTAGCGTCCACATCAACCTCCCCCACGTGCTTGCCATCCTCGCCTTCGGCTTGGAAGGCAATCTTGCACGTGGGGGACGGTGATCTGTTTTCTAAGGCTCAGGCATGTAATGTACTATTTTAGGGTCATGTCTGTGTATATGTGTGCGACAACTTGTGTTTTTGGTGATTAATTTTTAGGAAATTCGACATAATCTATATTGTGTATTTATGATTTATTTTGATTTTGCTGTTCCTTAATTTGGCTTTGACAAGTATTTTGGGAGCTGAAAATTGCTAATGAGGTTTTGACGAGAGCAGAAAATCCCTAATGAGTTTTGGATGGAAGTAGAAAATTCCTGATGAGTTTTGGATGAGAAGAGAAAATTTCTCATGAGGTTTGGATGAGAGCAGAAAATTTCTAATAACTGATTCATTCGATTAGCCAAAAAAATTACCGAGGAAAAACTGACCGGTAAAAATGACCCATGGAAAAAATGACTCGAAAAAATAGCCAGCGAAAAAATGACCGATGAAAAAATGATCGAATTAAGAAAACTGAATGGAACGTTCTTGAAAGATAGTGGATAGTGGTACATTGTTGTAGAATTTGGCTGAATTTTCTGGACAAAGACCTTGAATTTAATTTAAGGCGAAAAAGTTAATGGAATTTCAAGTTTCTTTGGAAATTCGAGTGAAATTCAGATCTTTTACCGGCAGGAAGATGGAAATTCCACAACTTACATGAACTTTCAAGTGAAAATGAATATTCATTGCCAAATTCGCGGAATAATTGAATGGAATTTTAGTTCCCACGGATTTTTCTATAAAATTATCGATTTTCAATGACAAAATTCCTTGAAATTTCAATGGAAATCTCACTTGTAACGGTGGGTGAGTGGCTGGATGATTATTGTCGGTAAAGCCGCCTGTGTTTTGATTTTTTTTTCGTTCTGAACCAGCGAGAATTTGAATAGTGGATTCCGCTGACTGATGTCGGTGTTTATTCTGATTGAATGAATGCAGTAGCGAAGTGGTAAAAGGAGATAGGTCAATTTTGACTATTGACCAGTTTTCAATCAATATCTCGAATATTGCTGAAAGCTGTAGCAACCGTAGTTCGTTGTCGAAGCCTAAAAATAAGTTATAATAAAAATGCTTAATATTGATCTCTAATGTTTTTTGTTGTCATTTTTCTTCATTTTTTTAAAATAAGGTCATTTTTTTATCGGTCATTTTTTCTGAAGTCATTTTTTCATAAATTCGATTCATTCGAAATGATCTCATCCAAACCTCGTTGAAAAATTCCTGCTCCCAGCTAAAACTTAGGAATTTTCTGCTCTCCTTCAATACTCATGAGAAATTTTCTGCCTCCATTTTACAGTCACTAGCAATTTTCTGCTCTCACATAACACTCATCATGAACTATCTGCTCTTATCTAAGACTCATTAGGCATTTTCTGCGCCCGTCTAATACTTATTAGGAATTTTCTGCTCTCCTTCGACACTTATTGAAAATTTCCTGCTAGCCTATAACAATTGTTGCGAATTTTCTGCTCTCGTCCAAAACTCATCAGGAATTTTCAGTTCTCATCCAAAACTCTTGAGAATGTGTCTGCTTTCATCCAAACCTCATTCGGAATTTTCTGCTCCCATCTAAAACTTCTTAGAAATTTTCTGCTCTCCTCCAACACTTATTAAAAATTTTCTGTTACACTAAGAGACAAACGATAAAGTTCTCATAGAAGTCGTACCTGCGCCAGAAAAATAGTTTTTTCAGAATTATCAAAAAAGGATTTTTTGTGCCAAACATGCAGAGAGTGCACCGGTATGAAAAATTTTTGGCGCAAAAATAGATGTAGTAGTTGAAAAAAAAATTGCATTCTCTGTACACACAAGAAGTGTCATTTCTAACACTACTCCTTCGTTACCTCGATACTCCCATACGTATTTTGCTCCCAAAAAATCTTTGTTTTATGCGAAACAAGAGATAGTAGTTTTTCGTTTCGGCTATCCAATAATCACAGACAAGAAATGAACCCTTAAGGGTTCATGAGGACACTACATGAGTTTTAAAAGTCATGGGTTATTGGAGTGAGACTTTTCATACGTTGAAGATGGATTATATAGATCTGAAAACGAATAATTAGTGCAAAAAATTTTTTTTTTATTTTTCGTTTGCCCGAAAACGCTTAAAATGCTAGAAACAGTCCAGGGCCTCCAATTTTTGAGCTACAAAAGATTTTTTTTTTTTCAAAATTTTCTGAAAAATGTGTGGAACAACAATTATGAGCCAGTTTTTTGGAATTCGACTCCTACGCAGCTGATTCCGTTTTTTTTCATATAAAAAAATCCACTAATTGTGTAAAAAAACACAAAAAAAATGTAGCCAAATAAGCAAATCTAGCCATATAAGAGGCGAATAAAAAAAAACTAGCTCGTAGTTGCCATTACACATGTTTTTTCGAAAATTTTGAAAAAAAATCCTTCGTAGCTCAAAAATTGGCAAACGAATAAAAAAAATTTTTTTTTTGCACTAATTATTCGTTTTCAGATCTATATAATTGATCTTCAGCGTATGAAAAGTCTCACTCCAATAACCCACGACTTTTAAAACTCATAGTAGTCTCCCCTTAACTGAAACAATAATAATATGATAGCAATTTTGTAATGTAGGGATAAAATATTTGTTAACAAATTTTCCTCTATATGAGATATTTTCATCCTGAAAAGGCACATTCTGGTGTGAATTATCCGCCTCTTGAGCCAAATATTTCATTGCTGTCAGAAGCAGAACAATTATTCATGTTTGAGACTTTCAAATTCGAACCAAGCAAATTCTTTTTTGGTAATTTTCAATTAACGATTTTGTTAGCCCAAACAAGACTTGTTTGACAACATGTTTGTTTTTCTCTCAGTGTAGCATCTAACAATTATTGGGGATTTTCTGCGCTCATCCAAACCTCATTAGAAATTTTCTGCTTTCATCCACACCTCATTACCAATTTTCTGCTGCTATCTAAAACTTATTAGGAATTTTCTCTTTTTACCCAACAGTCATTAGAAATTTTTTGCTCTCATCCAAACCTTATTTGCAATTTTCTGCTTCTGTCTAACATTCATTAGAAATTTCCTGCTTTTATTCTGTGATCGAGCACAAGTTATTCAATGCATGCGATGTTGAAGCAGATAATTTTTTCATGCCCTCCCACTATTTTCAGTGAACTGCCGTATCCTCCGCTTCTGAGTTACCTAACTTTTTATGTATTTTTTGGAAAAAATAACTTTCAATTTATTTCCCCGCAGAAATTGAGCTGATAGATAGAACATCACTTTTGCCGACTTATCGTTATTATTTATGCAATTTTGCCCCCTAGCTTAACAAGCAATTTAAGAAAATTGATTTTTTCCTCTTTTTTTGTAGTCAGGTTTTTATACTCATCGGCCTCATTTAAGCAAGCTAGTTAGATGGCCAATTACTTAAAATCGATTTTTTTCGCAGAAAAAAAGATTTTTTTTTATTTGCGTAGAAATGCAGCAGATAAAGAGCAGATGATTTAGGCATACTCGCCATATTGGTCCGAGGACACTGGCTGCCTAACTTTATTAGACTCCACTTCTGAACAAAGATACCCATTAAATATTTCTGCTCTTCAAGAGATCCTCTACGTTCCTTCAAAAATATTAAAAAAACTTACAGCTTTATCCAGATTTCCATCTGCAGCCACCAGCACCCGTACCCCGTACCTCTTTCGCAGCATTTTATGTATGCTCTTCATCTTCGTATTGAGATCATGATCAGCGATTTTTCCGGATATAGCTATCGTCTTGTCCTCCTTTAACACCTTGTCCTTAACCTCCTTGGCCTCAGCTTTTGCCTTTGCATCCTCCTTCATGAAATCCTGTATCTTCATAAGCCTGTAGACAAGTCTCTCCGTTCTCGTGTCAACATCAACGACCTTCACGAGCTTCAGATCTCGTCTCCTCGCCAGTTTCTCCGCCTCCTGGAGAGTCATCACTGTCATATCATTGGTCTCCGAGAGAAGAGTAATTTTCGGAATGAATATCTTCCTCTTATTATTTCGCTTCTTGGGTTCTTCTGAAACCACATCACAATAGGTATTCCCATTTAGGTTAAACCACTTCGGTGTCACTTGCACTTGAATTGTTTGTTTATTGACGAAAGGACAAGTTATAATGCAAGGAATACACCTGTTGTACTTAAATATACGTAGAGACTTCCACAATGTGTGACTCGCCATTTCCTTTAGTAACCCTCGACCACAACCAACTGGTCCAGTTCACAGGCTGATAAACAGCTGACGCTCCGAAACGTCTCCTCGAAGTTTGGTTAGGGAACACATGCATGTGTAACACTCGATTTGCCCCCAAACGGAGTAGCTAATATATTATCTACAACTCATGTTATAATTTTTAATATAATTTTGTGTTAACGTGCTCATGATGATGAGTAATAAACAATTCCATTTCTTATTTTCGATGAGAATCAGATATATGCTGAAAGAGTATAGTTTCGGGAGCCGAAAAAGGTGAGTTAAGGTTATTTTCTTTGAATATGCGTCTTTGGGTGCTGAATTTTGTATTCGGCAGGAATGGTGAAAGTTTTTTAAATCATGTATGTTAAGGTCGATCTGCTTGTAGTGATTGTGATCGAGATCAGCTTTTGCGAGGATATTTATTGACGTTTTTCTTGATGTAGATTCTGTCTTTGCAGCGACAGATAGGGCAACACGCACTAAAATTATTCTCTTCAGATATTTTCTACTAAATTCCCTTGGCTCAAATTTTCTAAATCTTCATTCTATTTTTCTTTTCTTCTCATCAAGAAATTAAAACAAAAAAAATGAGAAAATTTCAGCCGCGGAAATTCTCTAGAAAATTTCTCAATAGAGTATGTTGTATAGAAGAATCGAATTCTTTTGACTTTTTCGATAGAATATTTTCCAATGAACATTTCAATAGAATCGGCCAAAAACTAATAGAAAGTTCAATAAAAATCCAAAAGAATTGCCTGATCAATTCGCTAGGTTTTTCTATTCAATTTTTTCATCTGTGAAAACTGACTGAGTGATGCGATGGAGATGAACTTGATCACATTTACAATCTTGGTACAATTCCGATTCCTCTGGCGCTCTGATTTGACAGTCGTTTTCCGGAGTATTTTATTTCAGGAATTTCGGAAAAATAATGAAAAAATTCCATCTCAATTATCTATCAAGATATAAACAATTGAATATTGAAAAAATCAAAATCATCAATTAATTATCCTTGAACTTTTTGATAAGTTCTATAATATCCATAAGAAATGTTATAACAAGTAATCTCAGTCACAAGAAAGTCTTCTACCGTCCTTTTACATCATTTTAAATTTCATTAATGAAAAAAAAATTAATTAACAACATAAATTTCAACGATTATCAAGTCGAAACAAAATGGGGACGATTATGATAACCGAGATGCCAAGTTTAGGTAATATGTATCGATATATTTTTGTCTCGGAAAACTGAAAAAATATTTTTAAAAACTATCTCAATTATTTTTTAGAATATTTTTAAAATTTCCCATTTTTTCTTCCGAATGGAAGTATTGCGGATGAAAATTTTTGCGATCTTCTAATTTTGCCTGGAAATGATGTAGAATGTCATGAAACGTGAAGATATGATGTTTTTAGAAAATGTGTGTATGTATGTCCGAAAGTGTGTGGTCATTTTTTTGGAAAATTTTTATAAATTACACCAAAAACTAGAAATCTGAAATTTTGTCATTTAATTGGTATTACTTTGGAGCATTTTGGGGCGCAGTTTTAGCTCAATCGGTGCAGTAGTTTTCGAGATGGAGCAGTCTCTCAAAAATTTGTTTTCATCAATCTCTCAAAAAGTATATGACCGAATTGAAATTTTTTTACGTCAAAATATTCCTTGTGATAATATTTATCGAATCAAATCATAATATGGGCTACCTATCTAGCGATGGTTTGCCAATAATTGACATTTTTCATTTTGATGAGAAAATCGGTGTACGCGCGATAACTGTCTGAAAAATCAAGATAGGAAGTTGAAATTTTGTAGGATTGTAGCTCTGATGGTGCCATTGGCTGGGATTGTAGATGGGTAGAATCGGATGAGTAGTTTAGGAGATATTGAACTTTTTCTGAAAAAATGTTATACTCAATAACTTCTAAACTACTGGGCTGATTCACTTTTTTTTTTGAAATATTCGTCATGGTATAATACCTTCTATTAAGATCAATCAAAATATGCATACCCGCCCATACAAAGTTTCCGAGATATCAGCGTTTTTCTGCTTTGTTTTATTCAAAAGTTCATGTGGTGTCCACAATACACGTAAAACTGGAAGTAAACATCTGAGATTTCGGCTACTGATTCGCATTATTAACCCACACTTGTCTATAAAATTTTGTGTCAATCGATTCAGTACATCCTGGCGTAGAGCGATTCATCCAAAAATCTTTTTTTTTTGAATCACACATCGTCATAGTATCAATGATTTTTTATATTTTCTATTATGTAATATTTGATGGAATGTCATAGCTATGGGGCGGAGACATAGGTCGGTGTGTCGGTAATATAAACCAATTCTCATTATTAAAAGTGTGGTCGTTAGTCAACGTTGTGTATCATAAATATTATATCATTACTTCTGCCTAAGTTGACTGGTGCTAGTATTTCGGTTTATTTTTCAAAATATTCGTCTCGATGTCGTCTATCTGAATCTGTCAAAACATATATAATCCGCCATATAAAGTTTTCGAGATATTTTAGTTTTTCTGTTTTTCGCTAAAAATCCTTATACGCGCTAGTTTAACAGATATTCAACTTTGTATCTAAAACGATTTTCTTGAATATCTCAAGTCTACTTCACCGATTTCATTAATTTTTTTGCTTCCGAATAGAAGCTTTGTAATCGTCCGATTTTCACATTCTCTAATTTTCATTGGAAATGATGTAGAATGGTCTGAAACGTAAAAATACGAAGTTTGGCGACCATGTCTGTATGTGAATATGTGCACCGCCACCTTCCCGATGGTCAATTTTTAGAAAATTGAGTAATTAAGTGGCTAAAATAATTCCAAAAAAATTTGAAATTTTGTCAGATTATAGGTCTTAATGAGAACTAGCTCTGTGCACAATTTCAGCCCGATCGGTCAAGGATTTTTTGAGATAAAGCGATTCGTTTTTAAACCGTTTTTCACAAATATCTTTAAAATTATTAAACCGATTTAAATTTTTTTTCTTTCAAAATATTCGTCTCGATACCTAGATCAACAAAAACATATATACCCGACCATACAAAGTTTTTGAGATATTTCCCCCTTTCTGTTTTTTCATTAAAATCCTTGTACGCGCGCTAACGTATGCAAAAATCAAGATATCAACTTAAAATTTGGACAGAATCGTCCTCCTATGATAACAAAGGTTCGTATTGAAGACGGGCTCAATCGCACCAGTAGTTTTGGAGATATTCAACTTTTTCTGAAAATCTATTATGTTGAATATCTTTAAAACTGCAAACGATTCCACTTTTTTTTCATAATATTCGTCATGATGTCCTCTACCTAGATCAATCAAAACATTTATACCTGTCCATACAAAGTGTTCGAGATATTCCCGTTTTTCTGTCTTTTCATAATCAAAATCCTTGTATTATGCAAAGTACCAGTACTCATGCCTGTCACAGGCACGAGGAACGGATCCATTCGGAAGCTTACTACCAATGGAATTGGTAGAAATGAAAAAAAGAAAAAGACTAATAACGCAAAAAGAAACGGTCGCATGCCTTCTATCGAATAGGCTCGAACCCCTGCTTGTTTTCTTCGGAAATCGTAGGTTATTAGATTAAATCCTCGACTAAATTAAAGCCAACTGACCACAAAGTTTTGTGAAATGAAATTTTTAGATCGTATCCGTATTTTGGTATGTATGTATAATATACATACATTGCGTTAAAGAAATCGTAATTATACCGAAGTCTTCTCCCTCTCAGCAAAAAATTCAATAATCTTAAAAAAGTGGAAACATTTTTATATTACAAAATGAATTAGTTTTATTCGAAATTGCAAAACGATCCAAAAAATTTGAACAACGTCAAAAGTGCTAAAGCGAATTATGAAGGTATAAAAGTGAAAAAAGGGAGTATTTATTCTAAAAATTTTGAACTATTTCTCCCCTCGCCCCTTAAACCCTCCAACCCCCAACACCCCAAGATTGTCAAAGAAGGAATAAAAGGGTAAAAATAAAATCAAAAATCTCCATAATTGAGGAGATATAATAGACATGGAATTTTTTCATTATTTTCCCCGAATTCCTGAAAAGATACTCCGGGAAACGACTATCAAATCGTGGCGCCATAGGAATCGGAATCATGCCCATTTTTCCATCCATGTTCACCATGACGAGAAATAAAATCGGTAAATATCTTGTATCCATATCATTCATGATTTTTTCTTTAAAAATTTACTAATTTTGGTTGGAAATATTTAGAAAATTTCTAGATGTTTTCAATTATACTGGTGAAAATTTATTATCATTTTCAGATCATCATTTGAGAATCATTTCACATCTTTGTGAGAATTATAGGTATATCGCCAACATATTAAAAGCGTTCGTTCCTTTTTTTTTCGTTCGAGGATCGTTCTGCCATTTATTGTTATGGTTTTCTATCTTCAAAATTTTTCTTCTGTCAATGCTTCATATATAGCTTTCTCAACATTCAAAACTGGGAAATCAGAAAATTGATTTTTTACACAATAGAATTCGAAAGAATTTGAGAAGATTATATAGGTCAGCTGAATTTTGAAAAAACCATCTCAGAAGAATCAACAAATTTAGAATTTCTTCTTCTATCCTGGTGGGATTATCCACTCACATCAGCTTAGAATATTCCGTGGGAAGAACGCATCATTTATGGATACATTGTTCTCGTTTCTTTGTTGTCAAGGAGTGAATATTTTAATAATTTTTTCATGTCAAGCGATCATTAATTCGTTAGTGATAACTCGAATTTTCAACCTTATTATGAAAATGGAGCATTGCATGCAATTAAATTTTTAATACATGGCGAATTTTCAATAAAATTTTTCGAAATTTTCACAATTTTCAATAATTGTTTTTGCTGTGTGAATTTGTAAATGAGTATTGACTTATAGAGTTGTATTGATCATATGACTCACAAATTAAGTGAAATACCGAATGAGCTAATTAGAAAAATTTATAAGTATTGACACCCACTTTTACTAGAGTATCAACAATCATTGAATTTCAGAAATTTACTCTCTGAATTACGTTCGAGAAAATAATTTTATGATTAAAATATTACTCCGTGATCATAGCAATTAGCCGATGAGTAATTCATTGCAATATGAAGAATTAACAACTAATAAATTGGAACATATCATTTTCATCATTCGCATTGCTTTTTGCAACGAGAACGATTACGAACAAGACATTAAATTTCTTTGGCATGAAATTAATGTTCAGTGAAATTCCGGAAGCGGAAAAATTCATAAAAATTCAGGAAAAAATACTATTACAATGATCATCAATTTTTCACTTCGAGAGTGAAAAAATGGAAGCTATTAAATTGTTTACATAAAAAATAATCATGGTCGTAGTCTACTTCGGTAAGTTGACTTTCTATTTTCCACTTTCAAGATTTTTTAAATGTTCTCTAATAGTTATGGGTAAATAGCAATTAAACTGTTGAAAAAAAGTAAATAAAATTTCATGCTCAGTTTAGTAGCAATTTTTAGAGGAGAAGCATTGATTTCAGTTTGAGAGGGAAAAGTTATGACATTTCAAATTTCATTGAAAATTCAATAGAAATCAACACTTTTTAATAGCATGAAGATAAAAACTCTCAAGTTACATGAATTTTCAACCGCACAATATTTACATTAAAAAGTTGTATTAAGAATAAAAGGCTGTAACTTAACATTCCATGACAGCAAAGAACAAGAATTAGAATGCTTATGTAATTATTTATATGAATTTTCAATTCACAAACAATGAAGGAGCAGAAGTCAAATTGTAATTTTAAGTTCGAATTTTGAATTTGAAAAATATTTTAAGAAATTCCAAGTACGGAACGATAGTATGAACAATAGATTAATTGAATTGCCGAGCGAACGGATTACAAAATTTCATAGCAACGTTGGGGTGCGCTTTAACCAAAGTTTCACCAAACATTGACTTCAAGCAATTTACTCTCTGAATTATGTTTGAGAGAAAGTTGAGAAATGAGTCACAATGAGAAAAAAAATGAATTGCTAATAAGTTGGGATATATTATTTTCTTTAGTAGTATTGCTTTTTGCAATGAGAATGTTTATGAACAATGAACATCATTGCCGCAATTGCGTGATGAAAAAGAAAAGACAACCTTTTAGTTTGCCTGAGGTAATAATGCAAAGTCTAAATTATTGAAGCTAGAAATATGACAATTTTAGGGCAGGTTCTATTCCTGATGTGAGCATTCATTGAGAGAATATTTTGAAAAATGAAGGGATGTGTTTCTTCATGAAATCCAGCTCTAGGAACTTCAAGAAAGTTTGCAGATTCCTTACAAAATCAGAGAACCGTCGGTCTTTTCCGAACATAAAATAATTTACGAGTTTTTCAAAGAATTCAAAATATAAGANGAAAGTTTGCAGATTCCTTACAAAATCAGAGAACCGTCGGTCTTTTCCGAACATAAAATAATTTACGAGTTTTTCAAAGAATTCAAAATATAAGAATTTCTGAAGAAACTTCAGGAAATCCAGAGGTTTTTCGGAAAGTAGAGAAGATTTTAGGTATTTCTCAAATATTTGTGAATTTTTGAAAAAAAAAAACAATGGGAGAACAATCTATAAAAAAACGCCGGAATTTTCCTAATAAAATTGATGAGTAGGAGGAACGTGACCCCGAACACTGCACTTTGAAATGAAAAAGCAAGAAATTACTTGAGAAATAGCTTGGATGTTTTCAAAGATTTCAGCAAAAATTTTCAACATTCTTTAAAAAAAATCACAAAAATTTTGAGATTTTAGGAAAAATTTTGAAAAAAAAAAAAACTGAAAAAGATCACAAAATGAGTGAAAAAGTAAAAATTGTGAAAAGGATCATGAAATGATGCCAAGATAATCCAAATGAATGAATAATCATTAGACTTGGTCATATAATTTTTCAAAAAGAAAAATAATTGAATGCTTTCATAAAGTAGTAAAGGAGAACGAACGGGGAGACGAAGATTATAAAATTTTGGGATGCGAGCACTTTGATATCTATCGTTTTGCACTCTAAATAGAATTTCACGGAAATTCAGAATCAATCACGTATTGAAATATTGAAATCGAACAGGTGATGAACCGAAACGTATTCTTTCCATTGATTTCAATACTTAGTACAATAAAATCCTAATGAATCATCAATTTTGGGGAGAAATAAATGAAAGAAAACAGGAAAGGACATCAACGTCGCGGCCGCTTGCGGCCGCGGCGGCGCTAGTCCTTTATAAAAAAAGCATGCATTGGAAACGGTCATGGTGAAGGACATGTAAAAAGTGTCATGGCGGCGCATGAAGGACGCATTCTCATGTGAACTTTCATGAGAATAAGCAATGCGGCCGCGACGGCGCTGTTCAAGAAAGCGCGCATAAATTACAAATCGGATTCTCTATGAGAAATGAAAAATTATTCGTATGATGATTGATAATTGGATAACTTGAAAGCCAAGAATGGAATGAAGCAAGTGGGAAATTACGCTTATCGTCATATAGTATTGTTATTTTTGCTTATTGTTATATTTAGTAATAGTTTATTAATTGCATATAAAGATACAGTAAAATCTTTGTTACAATGGGGGTGGTTTGTGACCTGAGAATACAAAAAAATTTGTGCTTAGGAACTAGAATTAGAAGTATTGCTGCTGTCACAGTCACTTGTACTTGATGAAAGTTCAAGTTTAATTGCTCTCATTTTACAACTATTTACAACAAAGGTAAAGACGGCCTTCACAATTTTCTTCCTATCTGAATTTAAAATAGGCGAAAGACTCGTCAAATTGGAGGGGTCTAAACCCTCCTTACCTAAGATCGAGAATAATTTAATTCTTTCTTGCATGTGTAGTGGACAATTTAGGACAAAGTGTGATAGGGTGTCAACGCAGGTGAAGGTGTTACAGGTCGGACAGGGTAATTCTGGATTAAAACTGTACGAGTTTCCATTCAGATATAGAGAGACATAGTACTGACTTGCCATTCTCAACTGCGCGAAGACTTTTTTCATTACGAGGGGAATATTCAATTTGAGATAACCGCGATCGAACAGGATACGGGTGTCCTGTATTTGAAAGTAGTGGGAGTGAAGAACCTGGTTGCCGATAGACTGCTGCAGATTGAGCTTTAGTCTCCCGAGTAGAGCAGGACCAGCCGTCCGCCACTCATGTGCCACAGGAGCATTTGCCAGATATGTAAAAGAGGGGTCCAAAGAGTTTATAAAGTCAAAAATTTGTGCAGCCCAGTTAAACTGGGTAGATTTGTCACTCTTCTCATATCTATCCACCTGACTCCTGAAACAGATGAGCGGCAAGCGATGATTGCCCATCTCGAGGATCCTGACCACCCAGTTCCAGGTCAATTCCCACACCTGCACAGCCAGGTCAAGCCTGCCTACCTCAACCTTCACCAATGCATTTCCCGTTGTGCGAGTCAGACCTAGTATGCTTTTATAAAAACTTGTCTGAACACGCTCGATCTCCTCCATGTATCTCAGACTCCAGATCTGACAGCCGTAGAGGAGAACCGACGACACCATTGTGTTAAACAGTGTGTGAATACGTTCTATGTTATGCAGTTTTGCAGCAGCTAAGCGAGCCTTTGCTACAGCGCTCTTCATTTCTGTACGAAAGACACCAGATGAACTAAAAACGATACCTAGATATGTGAATTCGTTCACAATCTCCAGCTCAGTACTGCCATACAAAAATTTAAGGCCCGAGGGCCTTTTACCACCGCCATTACAGTATAAAATTTTTGTCTTAGATTCATTTACAGTTAGACTATTTTTATCACAATATTGTTTTAGTATTTTTAGCTTAGTTCGAACATCTGCTACATTTCTACCCAGGATTGCAAGGTCATCTGCGTACTTGAGGAGCAAAACGTCTGTTTTATGGTTTAATCCTACACTGTATGATCCTTTCGACCTAAAAACATTCTCCATGTCTGATATAAAGAGTATAAAAAGAAGTGGACTCAAAATTTCGCCCTGCAAGACCCCTTCGGTGATTTCAGTTTCTTTAGTTAAACCTTCTGGGGTTCTTACTCTGAGCGTGGCCTTGCTGTACAATTCAGCGATAATCCTTACAATCCTGGAGCTGATACCCAGCTGGAGCGATTTCTGCCATAATTTCTCGTGATTGACTGTGTCGAAAGCACGCTTAAAATCCACAAAAATAACAAAAGCCTTTCCCTTCGGGTGAGAGAGATTGGTGTGAATGCACTCGCTCAGGGTGTAAATATTGTCTAAGCAACCTCTCTTCGTCCTAAAACCCGCCTGCCCTTCAGGGAGAATGTTGCGCTGCTCAACTCAATTATATAATCGCTCATTTAACAAACTAGTGAAAATCTTGGTCACATGATTTATCAACGCGATGCCCCTATAATTATTAGGATCTTTTTTATCTCCTTTCTTGAATAACATAGATAAGATTACATTTCCCCAGGCTACTGGAACTGATTCAGAAGAAAGAATTTTGTTGAACAGGGTTAGCAGATATAACTTCCAATTCTGTGGCAGAGCTTTATAAAATTCGTTCGTAATATTGTCCTTCGCAGATGCTTTTTTATTCTTACTAAGTTTCAAAACACGCTCTAATTCTTCCAGTGAGAATTCAGCATCTAGTTCGGGGTCTAAAACCCCACCGAGGTCCATTTGGATACAAGATATGGGTGGATAAATGTTGGCGTAAAAATTCTCCCACTCGGATTTGGAAACTTCAGGCTGCGAGTAATGGGGTTTTTATACTTATTTATTGCTAGCCAGAATTCATTTGCACTCCTCGAGTTGTTCACTTCCTCAATCAAATTATTAATATAATCTCTCCATTTGTACGTGCACGTTTTTTTATACTCGCTTAAAGCTGTATCATATTCATCTTTTAAATTAACATCATAATTTGCTTTTACATATTTTGTCAGTTTTTTATTTGCTATCTTCTTCAACTCGTGACATTGCTGGTCGTACCAAGATTCTTTAGGAAACCAGTTTCTGTTGCATTTTACTTTTTTAATTAGGCCTATACGACGAGAAGCGTCGCGAATAGGCACAGGACATTATACAAGTCATCGACAGTTTCACAGCCGAAATTTTTACCCACCTCAGGGGCCCATTGCATCAAATTTGCAAACTCTCCTGACTTATTTTTGTCTCAGCGAATTGAGTGACGGATAATGTTTGATTCTTCTGTGACGTTATCTGAGAGCTGTCGCTCATTTAGGGTCAGTAAAACCGGGAAGTGATCTGAGAAGGTCACCTTATGTACCACCTCAAGGTCGTTCACCGAGTGTGCCCCAATAAAATTTGTCCAAGCCAAGTCTATGGTACTACGAATATTGTTCTTACTCTTATTCATTTTATTTTTATTTTTATTTTTACCATTTTTGGAATTTGTTCCCCTAGAGTGACGTATATAAGTGATCTGAGCCGGGCTATCACTCTCAGTTTTCCCGTTTACTAAGATAAAGCCTACTTCTCTCATAAAGTCTGTCAGAATTTCTCCTCTCTTATTTATGACAGAGTCGCTCGTCCGCCCTTGGGCAGATAAATTTGTTGCACAAAGAGACTCTTCCGGGAGGTCCTCCGGTGGACCCACCCTGGCGTTAAAATCACCGACCAAAAAGAATGAATGATTTGTAAATCTCAATTGTAGGTTCTCGACTGTGGCCCGGAAAAGTCTCAGTATCTCTTTCACTTTACATTTAGGGTTGAAATAAACAGACCCGATAATCAGGTCAATATCCTTACTACAAACATGAACAAAAATCCAACTTTTACATGATTCTAAAACTGTCACCTGATAATGTTTTTTGGTAAGGATGAGTAGGCCACCAGATGCGTGGCCTTTTGTTTTTTCCTTCACAGCATTGACCCAGGTGTGGTTGAAGTCATCCCAGGCGCGGTTCATCTTCGGCGGCTGAACACACCAGGTTTCAGAGATGCAGATTATGTCTTCGTTTAGGAACTGGCGGTTTGGGTATAGGTTGGCGAAACCCCTTGCATTCCAGAGAATAAGTTTGATTGGCCTTGGAGACGTGGGGGCTTGATGAGTCCTGGATAAACAGGATCGTTTTTTGGAGAAGGCTGCATGGGAAAAGGAGGTGCTACTATGTTTGGCACGGGTAAATTAGGAGTTGAGTGATGAGGAGTTGTAACCGGGAGCGTTGTGATAGGAGGAGTTTCATGAAGAGGGGTTGTACCAGGGAGAGTTGTATCAGGAGGGAATGTACCAGAGGAAGTAGTACTAAGCGGCAGGTTGTTACCTCGGGGAGGTCTTGGTAGACCTCTTACTAGAACTGATTGCGTATCGTCCCAGCGCCACCACTCGTTGTTAATAATCAACTAGTTTCCAGCAATTTTCACAGAATCGCCCTTGGCCCTCAAATCTCTCGCAATCTCTCTTAACCTTCTACTTATTCTCATTTCGTTAGCTGTGAGCTCGTTCTCCACGTAAATATTCGTACCCGCCAAAATTGTACGTTTGGATTCCATAATTGAACTTTTATCTGCTTGTCTATGCAGTTTAACGTTCACTATACTGCTGGCCTGACTTCGTGCCCCAATTACTTGTGCTTCCTCTGCAGCATCTGCTTATTGTTATATTTATCACACATGCAGTCACTCCAAAATATGTTTTGGGTGTTTGGGAAATTGCTTTTTTCTCCATAATATAGTATGGTTATTTTTGCTAATAAATTAGCAATACTCTTCCGAATTGTCATTTTGCATATTATTTTTTTCTGTCGTATATAATTCATCGTTTGATAATCCTCTTAATAAAAAAGCATCCATTGGAAACTGTCATGGCGGAGGATATGCATTTGGAAGTATCATGGCAGCGGCCGAAACACGCATTCTCATATGAGCTTTCATGAGATTGAGCAATGCGGCCGCGACGGCGCTATTTAAAAAAGTGCGCGTGAATTACAAAGTGGACTCATAACCTGAATTAAGAAACAAACATCGTGTATACATTAAATACATCAGTGCATATTTTCTACACATGGATTTGTTTATAATGAGGGGATGGGAAATTAGTTTTTGGTGATGGATGTTAAAAATTGAAAGGTAGTTGAAATGATTGTAATTAGATGAACTTGAATGTCAAGAGTGGAATAAAATAGAAATGATTAATTGCTTTCATCACAATATATTCAATATGTTTTGGCTCCTAAATTAACAATTCACTTCCGCATGGAATTTCTATAACGGTGGATTTTCCAATTGAATTCAATGATTTATTGTATTCAATTTATTGACATCGCCTCAATGTTGGCAGCCAGCATTGCCTCAAAAATATTGGTTTGAAAATAATTTTTTTCAACAACAGATGATGCAATCAATCTCATGATCGAACTTGGTCAAAGTGGTATTGGGAAGAATATTTTAAATCATAGTTAGATTCATTTAAACAGTTATTTTTTCAATTATCGTCGAAAAACGATCGGTCACATACACACACACATGCATACATCCGGACATCCTCCTATTATAAAAAAAGCATGGCATCGACATCTCGAAAGGAGAAAAGTCGAACTCGAAAAAACTCGAACACGCTGGCATATGCGCAGTAGAATTGGGCACATCTCGAATGCATAATCGAATGTGAATCGATTCTCCAAAAGTCGAGAGTGTAACTCACATGTGCTCGCGTTATGGTCTACACGTGAATTTTTTTTTACCGGTAACAAATTGCATTTTTACTGTTGCATTTTTGATGGTGCATTTTTAAATAATAGTTATAGTTTTATAGAAATGGAACACAAGTGAAAATGACAAATAATAATTTTAATAGTGTTGCGCGTAAATTACTTATAACCTTAATTAAGAAACGAACATCGTGTATACATTAAATACTTTAGTGCATATTTTCTATACATAGATTTGTTTATAATGAGGAGAATGGAAAATTATGTTTTGGTGATCCCGCACAGCAGAATTTTCCGATCCGGTTATATATATCGCCAAATTTCTCCTTTATTTTGCAGTAAAATTGTTGACGATTTTCCGTCACTTTGGCAGAATAAAGACGACATATATGGATAATAACTCATCAAGTTATCAGCAAGACTGTCTCCTAATTTGTGGAAAAATACAGTGTAAATATGCAAATAGTGTTGTCGATAGAATTATTTCTTTATTCCGCAAAAAGTTGCCGTAAATATGCGGATATGAATGTCAGCAAAATTGTTTATAGAATTACTCCTTTATTGTGGAAGAAGTTGCCGTAAATATACGGATATATATGTCAATAAAATTGCTGATAAATTTACTTCTTTTTTGTAGAAGAAGTTGCCGTAAATATGCAGATATACATGTGAGCATAGTTGCTGATAGAATTACCTTTCTATTTCTGAACGAGTTGCAGTATACAGGGTGTCTCAGAAGTACATGTACATCTGAACACCCTAGGATCAGGGGGTGATTCTG